AAGCTGCAGACACACGGGCAACAGGAGCGGCTGGCACAGTGGCTACCGGGACAGCGCCCCGGACTACTGGAGTAACTGGCTCACGGGCTACGAGGAGCTACAGGAGCAACGGATCCACGGGCGACAGGCGCAGCAGGCTCTCTGGGCTACCAGGACAGCGCCCCGGACTACAGGTGCTGCGGACGACAAGACGGCAGCCTCCTCTCAGCCTCCCCAAACAGTCCCACCCCCCTGACACACACCCCCTGCTTCACCCCTAGCTCCACTCCCCCTTCACCCCCCTAGCACCACTCCTTCGGCTCCCCACACACACACCCCCCTGAGCGGCAGCTGCAGCAGTGGGAGACGAAGGAGGAGGAGGAGTAGGGGACGGCGCACACAACCGGCACCCCCACAACCGCCACCCCCACACTCCTCACCCCCAAACCCTAAAACGGGTTGCACGGGGTAGGAGCGCGGGGGACGGCGGGGGGGACGGCGCGCGGCCCCCAGGGCGCCACCACGGGGCAGCAAGGGGCCGCGCGCGGCTCCCCAGGGCGGCGCGACGGGGCAGCGGGGGGTCGCGCGCGGCTCCCCAGGGCGGCGCGACGGGGAATCGGGGGCCGCGCGCGGCTCCCCAGGGCGTCGCGACAGGACGACGCGAACGGGGGGGGGGGGGCGCGCGGCCCCCGTGGCGCCACGACGGGCGACGGAAGGGGGGGGACGCGCGCCCCCCGAGGCGCCTCGACGGGCGACGGGATGGGGGGGACGCGCGGCCCCCGCGACGCCACGGCGGGCGACGGGAGAGGGCGCCACGACTGGCGACGGGATGGCGGGGGGGGCGCGCGCGGATCCACGGAGTAGAAAACCGCCGCGCGCCTCGGGGCGCACGGCGGGCAGAAAACCGCCGCGCGCCCCGAGCGCACGGCGGGATGAAAAACGCCGCGCGCTCCGGGCGCGCGGCAGGAAGGAAGGGTCACGTGCCAGGGGCGCGCGACAGCAGTAGAGCAGCGGAAGCATCGGGTGGGGCCCACCCACAGGATCGACCCAAGGGGGTCGACCTGCTCTGAAACCATGTCGAAGTAGTAGGCAGAAACAAGAATGAAGAAAGGAGGAGGTTCACTAGCAAGCAGTTGGATACATATAGCAAACCCTAATTGGGCTGTACTCACTATGGAGTACCCCACTGCAGGCTAGACAATAATAACATTCTGACAGGTACCACGTGTTGTAGCGCCTGTTGTCGTTACGTGCGAGCAGCGCCAGTCGCGGAGTAACGATGTGTGGTGTGTCAACCTTTAGGAATTGTTCGCGCGCGATCCAGTCGATCGGTGCCGGCCTTGTATCGGGTACGTGTGGGGGGCTCTCGAGCAGCGGGACTGGCAGGTTCCAGTCCTGGTTGTCGTCGTCAGTGAAATCGTGGCGCGTGCTGAACAGATTATTGTTCCAGAACGCTCCGATTAGTTGAAGTGCTTCCTCCGGAGATGGTGAGCGCGCACGGGGACGACGAGATCCGCTCGTCATTGTCATGTTGCCCATGACGTTGCGAACGGGCGCAGTTGGTGGCTGCTGCTGCTGATGCTGAATCGTTGGATTCATGTTGCGCGGTGGGGGTTGATGCCCCTGGGCAGGACGCGTGTCATTCCTTGCGTCTTGTCGTCCGGACCAGTTGCTCGGATTGGTCTGGCGAGGGCGAGATCGATGTTTGCATCGATCTGCCAGGTGCCCGAAGTTTCTGCAAATCTTGCAGTAAAGGCGCCGCGGCCGTCGCTCCTCCGTGTTGTCGGCGTAGAAGGCGAGGCGTTCCCTGTCTCGTCGCGGCGCTGGTCGCTGCTGGTCCATATCCCGTTGTTCGACGAGGAGGGCGGCGCAAAGGGCGGCCTCCGAGATGACCCCCTGCTGTCGGAGAAGTGCCTTGCAGGGTCGCCACTCTGGGCCGAGCCCTTGAAGCACAATGTTCACGAAGATCTCCTCAGAGATTGTGCTTCCCAATTTCGCGATTTGATCGCGTAAGCTCCGACAGCGATTGATGTAGTTGTTGACCTTCTCCCCTGGTGCCATTCTTGTCTCCAGTAGCTACTGGAGTAGGCGGCTCGACGAAACCGAGTCCTTTGGTTGGTAGACGCCGTTCAGGTGGCGCCAAGCGTCGAGGGCTGGGGCAGGCGTTGTCTTGTATGAGCGAATGCTCAATTGCTCCGCCGGCGACATGTTTCGCAGAAGAACCCCGTACGCCATCAGGGACTCGTTGTAGTACCTTGCCTTGGCGTCGTCGGTGTCTTCGGCGGGTCCCGAGTAGCTCCCGTCGAAATAGTGGAAGATCTGCGCGTTTTGCAGCAGCAGCTCCAGCTCGAAGCTCCATGTATAGAAGTCTCTGCCGTCAAAGCACACACTTGTCTTTATTTTTTATATACTCAAAAACCTTGATTGCGCAGAGAGAATTGCCTCTTCGCTGGGACAGGGAGTTTTGGGAGTTGAGCCATTGGTGTCGAGGGAGAAGGTATGCGAGGCGGTATTGTGGCCGTTCGAGGCCGGTTGAGAGGTTTGGGAAGATGTTCCCGCGTCGCCATTCCGCAATGTTTGGAGTCCTTGCTCCAAGCTGGTGAGTCGCTGAAGCAGTTGTGCGAGAACGACGGAAGGAATCGTCGTTGTTTCCTCGCTTGTCGCAGCCGGGCTGGTCTGCGCTTCAGCCGTCAGATTCGTCTGACCACCAGATCCTCCGGCCATTCTCACGCGTGAGCGTGTGCCGGACGCCACTTTCCGTTCGCCGAAGATTTCGGTGGTGGCGGTGCGAAGGATTCCTGAGTCGCTCTCATACCATGTGACTATCAGAAGTTGATCGTGCCTAGGATCACCTCAGGAAGGTTCGCACACAACTGAGTAGTGGTGGTGGGCCCGTGACCTCAATAACAGAGCGAATGTAAATGCTTGAGATAATAAAAACATGCAAATACAGCACTATAAATAAGATTACAAGGGAATACCAATCGACCTAGCTAGCCGTGTACTCTAAGAGGTACATTCCCTTATTACAGCGAGATCCAACCGTGCGACTCCAGACAGTTACGAAACTGCCCGGGCAGAATCCTCGCAACTGCTGCTGCCTGATGCTGTCTGCCCGACGGTCCAGATCCTTTCGTAACCGTACGACCCTTCGTGTCACTTCCGCCCTTTCGCCTTCAACCTCGGTAGTGCGTGCTTCGCTTGCTGCGGTGAGGAGTGCACAGTAATGTTTCAATAATTACTATTCGTAACATCATGTATCTCGAAAATGCATGAAATACTTATCATTTGTATCAAGGGAAAGCTGATAGATTGTAATCTTACGATATTATATCACGTCTAGTTAATATATTCTTCACTGTTGTACAAACAAGGCAATCTCAAGCATAGGTGTATAACATTTTAATTCTTTGCTGGAAGGCTTGTAGTGGAACCTAGAACTTACAGCTGTGTTACACCTCAACAGCATCAAAGTTGCATCCAAGTTCATCGAATTTACCCATCATCGCACCCCACATCACCAATTTGTTCATCAACAGCCCCTTGTTGCTGGCTTCTAGAAGTCACGCAGGAGCGTATCCAGTACGAAAGCCCTTGTCAGTGTTTTGGGGTCATACTCTGTCACATGGGCAGGTAACAGCTGATAGTGTGGACATGCAGTACGTGTCGTATTTCGAATGAAACAATACGCCTACTCTAGTTTTCTACAATAATCGACTTCGCTCCAAGTTTGATTCCTTCGTTCTCGTTGGTTGACCCCCTCACCATGGAATGGAACTAGTTGTGCGCAACCAACTTCCGAATCTGCTTTGATGTTGATCGTAATTGTTATCCGACACTTGCGGCGGCTTCGCCTGTAGCAAGCGGCCAAGCCGGCTAGAGATTAAGGATCCGTGGTTGTTAGTCTTGCATTCGTTTATCTGCTTCCACCTCACAACCTTGTCGTAGCGAGGTCGATATACTTTCCTTACGCTGTACTTGGAAGCACCCACTGGCCATGGCATGACTTCGTAATCGCACCGCAAGTCTCGTCTTTAAGAGCCGTTTGCTTTTCCGATTATAGTTTCGTTTCTTCCAGGTAGGGGCTTCGCCGCAAGTAACCAGTTGGAGTGTCACCTACTTGGGTGTTGCATCCCGCGGCATCTTTGTCCGCAAGGACGATGCGACGGTTTTTTGTCGCAGGCGGGAGAACGTCGCAAGGAGGGATGAGTGACAGGCCCTTCGCCCGAGTCGTTCTTTTTGCCGCTGCCGCGCTGTTGTCGGCCATGATCCCCCACTCTCAAGGTACCATACGGAGCTTGCGTTCACTGACATCCAAATCTTCCACTGGCATTCAAAGCTGATCGTACCTCATTACGTCAGAATTCTGACGATTCTATGCGAAGCTTCCACTTTCTCGTACCGTTTGATGTTCCCCGGACTTCCTTGCATTCTTGCCTTTCACCGTGCCAAGGATTAAACTTGCCAAAAGTGCTCGCACGCACTTTTCGTCTTGCAGAAGGACAGGCGTCAAAACGAATTCCAACTCTCTGCACCTTTTTTCTTTCTTTGAAATCCTTTTGTTCCCCCCTTTCGCCCAATGGACAGCGTATAACGTGTCGCTCGAGAGTGTGACCCTCTTTAAACGGTTCTCCTGGTACGGCACGCCGTCTGTCTACATCGAATGCGACTCTGCGAATCGGACGTACCTGCCCGCCGTCAACTCGACGCTGACGTGGTTCACGTTCCAAGGCAACGAGTCGTGGCAGGTGGGTGGGTGCGTCGCCGCGTGCACGCATGGTTGGCTTGGCTTCATGGATGATCGGAAGGTTGGGTGCGTGGTGGGTGGTGGGAGATGGGTGGTTGCGTGCTGGATGGATGTGTGCGATGCATGATGTGACAGTGTGATGTGAGCTGGAAGCAGTGACAGGGGGTTTGGTGTGCGGCTGCTGAACTTGTTTCTCTTGAAGAGTCTCAAATTGTATGGCTGAGTGACATGGCATGGCACATGGGAAGGAAAGTGATGACGAGAGGTGGGCGGGATGTGGGAAAACGAGGGGTGCCGCACGTGTGCGCTGTACGAGCGGCAAGCGCTGTGGTACAAGGATGGGTGCTTTGGCACGTGGGCTGTGTGCTCCAGCAACTTCAGCGACCGCGACCAGTGCTTCTGTCTTTCTCAACTCCGTTTCCCCTTCTCCCCATTGCCCGTTTCCCACCCTCCTCCTTCTCCCCCTCCCCCTTCTCCCCCTCCCCCTTCTCCCCATCCCCCCCTTTCCCACTGTCCCCCCATCGCCCCCCTGCCAACACTCTCCCCTTCCTTCCAGCCGGTGACACAGCTGGACCACGGGCAGTGCCGCATGTGTGCGCTGTACGAGCGGCAAGCGCTGTGGTACAAGGATGGGTGCTTTGGCACGTGGGCTGTGTGCTCCAGCAACTTCAGCGACCGCGACCAGTGCTTCTGTCTTTCTCAACTCCGTTTCCCCTTCTCCCCATTGCCCGTTTCCCACCCTCCTCCTTCTCTCCCTCCCCCTTCTCCCCATCCCCCCCTTTCCCACTGTCCCCCCATCGCCCCCCTGCCAACACTCTCCCCTTCCTTCCAGCCGGTGACACAGCTGGACCACGGGCAGTGCCGCACGTGTGCGCTGTACGAGCGGCAAGCGCTGTGGTACAAGGATGGGTGCTTTGGCACGTGGGCTGTGTGCTCCAGCAACTTCAGCGACCGCGACAGCAGGGGCCTCTTCACGTTTCTGCAGCCGGGTAGCTTCCACGCCAACCTGGCGTGCTACGCTTGTAACCACACGGGGGTGGCACATGCTGCGCCAGAAGGTGTGTGTATGTGTGGGGGGGGTGGGGAGGGCACGTGCGCGCGCGCCTGTGTGCATGTGAGTGAGTGAGGCAGAGGGGAGGATACTCGTGTTTTTACATATTTGTCAGTGTCACGTGTGTAGAACAAGGAAGACGATGGGGTTGCAAAGAGTGGTAACAGGCAGCAATGCATATGGTCAATGGTGGCTGCGGCATTGTGCATAGCATAGTAAATGAAAAAGGGGAAATCAAATGCTGTGATTAAAGTAGGGGACATATACAGCCCTTTTTCTTATCCACACCCATTCCAACCGTTCCTCAGGCCTGCTGCTCGCACCTCATCCCTCCGTTTCCCCCTCACCCCTCTTCCTCCCCCTTCTCCTAATCACTGTATCGTGTGTACCCTGCTCCCCAAGCAGCCCCCACTAGCGCAGACACAGGCGCCGACGTGAGTGTGTTTCTGTGGATGTCGGTGGTGGTAGCAGGCATGGGCATAGTCATCATTATTGCTGCCTGCAGCGTCTTCCTTGCAGCCGAGCCTGAAGCTGAGGCAGAGCGCGTCCGTTTGGAGGGAGAACGGGCCAAGTTCATTGAGATGGGCGGGGGAAAGTCGGACGGACGGCCGAGATTTCACGACGGGTATCACTACGAGGGGAGTGAGGATGAGGATAAAGGGGAACATAAGCGGCATGGGCAGCAGCACCGGGCGGAGTTTTCTGGGAGGTTCCGGGATGAAGCAGGCGACGTGTTGAGTGATATTGACGAAGAGGATGAGGAGGAGACTACAGGGTTATTCCCAATGCATCACACACACTCATCTGCTGTGCCTGGCGCACCAAGAAGGGCTCAGCCTCAGCTTCCCGTGTCCTCCGTTCCTGCCCCTGTTCCTGCTGCTGCTGCTGCTGGTACGGGCATTGCTGCTGCTGGTCTTACCACCACTCCTACTGGTGCTGGGGGTGTCAGGGAGTCTCCCAATCTAGTTGAAGTTTCCATATTGCAAAGCCCCCCAGGACGGCCGTTTGAAGCAACACCCAACCCGACAACAGCAGCTGCATACTACCATGAGTGGTAATTTGTACACTGCGTATTTATCAGGCGTGCTGTTGTGCATGGGGTGTTGCTCTTCGTTACCCATATGATGGCCATAATTCTAGGTATTGTAATTAGTCGCGGAAGGCCTTTTCTTCGTAGGTAAATTTGAGGAGCCTCTTTACCTAAGCGATTTGCCGTTGAATATCCACACATGAAGTAAATTAGACTTTTGTATGTGGAATACAGTGAGTGTGAATATTCCTTCTGCCATTTTGCTGCAGACGGGGTGCTGCACTTCCTGTGCTTCATGTGGCGGACGTGACGGTGCCGCCAAACATACTAATCCGCGCCGTGTCCCCCAACCTCCGCTCCACAACCGAGATTGTGACACGTCGCGCCGAACAAGACGGATTCCAGGCCATGTTCTCCACCGAACCGATGTGGGCGAGGCTTGTTCATGGTTTGAGGGAGCTCGGTTTGGTGTTGGCTGCACGGACGTGGGTCGACCGATTCGGTTCGGATACACAAAAGACTGAGATATTCACCGTCTGATAACGCGGATGACGCGGTGTGTTTCTTTGGTGAGCAGATGGATGGATGTCTTCGGTGAAGGGACATGGTCGACCGCGCGGTTCGGTTGCTAGCGCCACGGCCGAAGCTGATCCCAAAACACTCTGCTGAGCTGTGAACGTGTGCCTGCCGCCGCTACCTCCCCTCCTCCCGCCAAACAGTGGCGGACTTCCGCCCGCTCCCCCTCTTCCACCTGCAGCTCCCCACAAAACCGGAACCGCAACACGCCGTACTCCCTCCAACCTAAGGACTTCGAATACTTCTGCCACCGCTCCAGGCTTCACGAACTTTCGACACGCGGTGGATTCGGCGCACCAAACTGGACCCGCAGTTCTAGGTGTGGCGACTTTTTGGTCATCACACCTCAGCAAACCACACCGTACCGCAACAAACCACACCATACCAAACAAACGCCGTACAAACCCTTCAAGCAGCAGAAAAGTTGCGGGGAAGGTAAAAAGGAACCTGAAAATCCCGTTGGTGTGATTTGTTTGACAGTGGGTGGGGTCATCACGAGACAACCTCCCTAATGAGACTGACTGAGGGCTTTTTGCAGCTTTTGGGTGTCACAAACCTGCCTAGCAGCCATTAGTCATTGCGTGGTAGTCCAACGTAATCTGCGCTTCTGATCTCCGACTCTCTTTATCAACGCGCCACCTCCCGTTTCGGGCCCTGGTCATCTCGTCCTCCCGTTAGGCCGACGACATTCTCCTCCCACAACGCCCTTTGGCAGTCGCACTTCGTACTGTTCTAGTCGCACTGTCCCGCTTTCGCTTTAATTAGCTACCGCGACGGCGCGTACACTCACTGATTCCTGAACCCCGTCTGATCATCACTGGAGACGTGAGAAAATCAACATCAGCAAAGTGGCAAAGCAGGGGAAGTGCTGGTCGTCGCTCGCACATCGCACAGCCATGGCGACAAGTCGCCAAGGCGTCGTCGCACACGCGATGATTCTCCTTGTCGCGCTCTCAATCGCTGGGTGGGTACCTGTTGGAAAATAACCGGCCTGAGTTTTACGTGCTCAGTTGGTGATAAGACGGAGGGGCAAATGTGACTCTAGGGAGATGCAGTTGTGACAAAGGAGCGATAAGCCGATCCGTACAGGTGTCAGAACCTAGGCAGCAGCGTAACAGGGTAACAGTCGGCGGCGAAGACTTCGTGAGTGCCTTCCGAGCTACGCTGATAATTGGTTTCTATTAGGGAGTGCACTTGAGAATCCAGAAAAGTGCCGTTCGAGCGTGTGGTAGGCTAGAGCCGTCGAGATGGGTCAATAAAGGGGTGTAACATGCGTGAAAGGAGGGATGTAGAGAATGGTAGGCGGTAGAGAGAAAAAGAAGGATAGGACAGAAAGGGAAGGAGCAAATGAAAAGGAAGAGAAACACGACGCGCGATCGGCGAGGTTTCAGCAGTCATGCGGCTTGTAAAATCATCATTCTTATCCGCCGCTATTTATTGCGCTTGCCCTAGACCATCAACCACGCCTATTCACCCTCCCTGGCCCTTCTCTCCCCTCCCCTTCCTCCCCACTTTCCCCTTCCTCCCCCCCTTCCCCCTTCCCCTTTCCCCGTCTCTCGTGCGCGCAGGTCGCTCGCGCCAGCGTCAGCGTCCACGTGGACGCACATGTGGAACCAGACCGTCGAGTCGCCTTTTAGGCGCTTCCTAAAGCAAGTTAAAGCCAGTGAGTCCCCTTTTCTCTCTCTGCCGTCCGTACCCCGCGCCGCTCCTCCTGTCGCTCGCCCCTTGACTCTATCACCTTCCAATCTCCCCCACTCCCCCTCCTCTCCTCCCTCCCTCCCACTCACTCCCCCCCGTTTTCTCCTTCCCCCATATGCTTTTACCACTTTCCTCTCATTTGCGCGACACGCTACTCTAGTTTCCCCCCATTTCCCCCCCTCCCCCCTCCCGCCTTCCTCTCAGCTCTCCCGCACCTTTCCCTCCCCTTTCCCGGCCCTACCCCACATTCCTCTCGCTAAACTTCTCTTCCCCTTATGCGCCTCCCCCCTGCGCGCAGCTCCGCCGAGCACCTCCGCCGTTTCGCCGTCCGCCTGCACGAGCGTGCGCGCGCCCTTTTACCCTGCCGGCATGCCGCGCATGCGCTCCTCGTGGTACCTGCAGCGCTTCCTGAATATGCAGCGAATCCAAATCAAATCGTCCACGTGGGGCAGCTGGTGGAACCCCACCAATGGCGGGCGCGCGAATTCTTTAATCGGGCTCTCGCGCGGCCAGCCGTCCGTGCGCGTGGTGTTCAGGGTTGTCGTGGCGGGCCCGAATAAGATCAAGCTGCTGACGAATGCGAACGCGTACCTGAGCGTCGCGAAAATGGTGGGTTACCCGTCGCCGGCGCTCGTTACGACGATGAACGGCAACAATCCGTCGACGGTGTTCCAGGTCTCGCGATCCGGCGTTCACTGGTTCTTATACTCCGCGACTGCTAAGGCGTACGTGGGAGCGAACGGGCAAGGCAAGCTAATGGTCTGGAGCAAAACACCCGACGCGTTTCAGCGGTTCCGGATTATCGAGACTAAGGAGGTGCCCGCGATTCGCGGCGTGAATCTCGGGAGCTGGCTGGTGTACGAGAACTGGATGGATCCGTACGTGTTTCCGGCATCCACGAATTACCTGGACGGAACCAAGGTGGCGTTCCAGAACCGGATAACGAGGAAGTACATAACGAATATGGGGACGCAGCTCCAGTGCAACAAGGACACGTACGGAGATCTCGAGACTTTCCGCGTTCAGACTCTCGCGCCCAACAACCAGACCTACGCGGTACGTTACAGATTACGAGTTTTCGCCGTTACGGCTGTGTGCTGTGCGTACCGTTTTTCCTCGATTTTACCGCTTTCCTTGCTTGCATCGCTTGTCCAACTCCTCCCCCTATCCCCCCGTCCCCATTTCATCCACCTCCCACCCATCCCACTCTCCGCTTCCTCATCTCCCCCCTCCTCCGACTCTTCGTCTATCTCCCACTACTCCTCCCACCCACTCCTCTCCTGTCCCCCCATCCTTCCCTTTTCCACACCTCCCCCTGTTAGCCGCCTGCTGCTGCTTATCATGGTGCTGCGTCTCTCTACCCCTTTCTGCTCATCTTTCCGCGGATCCCGCCTAGATCCTTCCCCCAACTCCCCGGTCGCAATCCAACCCCAGCCTGTCAACACGTCTCCCTTCTCCCCCTCGCCCCACCCTCCCCCCACCCTTCTCCCGTTTGCTCGCTTCCCCCTTCCCCCTCCCCTCCCCTTTCCCCCTTCCAACCCACTCCCCGCGATCCCCCCGCAGCTGCTGTCCCCGTTCAAGCTGTACATGAATCTCGGCAAGGGGTACACTTCCCCCACTGCGGAGTCCCTGAGAGTTAATTCAGACGTGAGTTCGATACCTGCCGCTGGCGCTGAATGTGTGGGGTTGGATGGGGTGGCGTGGCGTGGGGATTCGTAGCTTACTATTGTTCGCTAATGTGCTACATTTGCGTTGTTGATTATCCTCCTTCTCCCTCACTCTCCCCCTTCCCTCCCGCTTCGCCCCCTCCCCCTCTTTCCCTCCCTCCGCTCTCTCCCCATCCGCTTGTGATTCTCTCCCTGCGTCACTTTTCTCGTGCCTTCACATCCACTCATACCCCGTTCCACCACACCAACCCATGCTTCTCTCCTCACCCCTCTCAACCCCTCCACCCCATTCGTCTCTCCCCCCCATTCCCCGATCCCCCCAACCCCCATTCCCCCAATCCCCCCAATTCCCCCAACCCCATTCCCCCCATCCTCCTGATCCCCCCCCTAATCACACCAGACTCTCTGGACCATTCTGGTGAACCCCAGCGACTCGAATCAGATCGTGATCCGCGCGCCCAACGGAAACTATCTGGAGGCCAACAGCGACGGCAGCCTCACGGCCACGGGCAGCCCCGACCTGGTCAACCTCGGGGACTCCGCGACCTTCGGAACTAACCTCGCTTTCAACATCAAGATTGTACGGCATGCGGGGGAGGGGAGGGGAGGGGAGGGGAGGGGAGGGGAGGGGAGGGGAGGGGGGGAGAAGTGGGAGGGGGAGGGGGAGGGGGTTGTAATGGGGGATTGGAAAGGGGGTACTTGCCTCACTTTCAACATCAAGATTGTATGGCGCCCAGGGAGGAGAGAGGAGGGGGGGGAGAGGGAGGGATATGCGAGGGTTGAAAGTGCGAATGAAGGGTGACTGAGCCAAATCAACCTGGTAAAGTCTTGTGTCTTGCATTACGTTGTTACTCTACACCCCTTCTCAACCCACCCTTTGTTTCCCCTCTCCCACCCCCCACCGCAGATCAAGACCATCAAGAACGACTGACAACTGGCGTACCAGCTACAAGGTCCAAGACCCGTCGCTATCCACACCTGTTCCTCAATTCCCTTCTCACCCCACTCCCCTCTCCCTCCCAACCACTCCTTGTCTCCCCTTACCCCCCACCGCAGATCAAGACCATAAAGTACGACTGGCAGCTAGCATACCAGCTACAAGGCGCCAAGACCCGTCGGATCGAAAACATACGATCAACTTTCGTGACCGAAGCAGACTGGCAGTACATGCGCTCTCAGGGAGTCAACACCGTCCGCATCCCAGTCCCATACTACATCTACCAGCCTCGCCCAGACTTCCCGTTTGTCGCCGGCCTGGGGAAATACGTCGACTGGGCGATGAAAATGGGGACCAAGTATGGGATCCGGGTGTTTCTGAGCATGCACATGGTGGCGGGGACGCAGTCGGGCACGTTCGGGTCGAGGCTTGGGTACGCGGATTTCGCCAAGGGTGGGAACAAGGCGAAGACGCTGCAAGCGGTGCGGTGGATTGCAAAGCGGTACGGGAGCAACCCCGCGTGGATGGGCATGGGGCTTATGAACGAGCCGAGCCTTGACGTGCCGCTCCCCATGCTTAAGGTGCGTGCTGGGGGGGTGGAGAGGGGGGATGGGTAGGAGGGATTTAGGGTTTCGGGTGTGGTGGTGAAAGGGGTGTCCTGGGAATGTGGTGGGTTTGTCATGGTGGCCTTCCTGTTTTCGCCGGTGTTGCTTGCACATCCTATTTTTGCCTTTAAAGCCTTGAAACCTTTCGCAATCCGGTTTGCAAAGAACTAGGTGCCCCTATTCCTCCCCCCCTTCTCTCTCCCTCCTCACCCTTCAGTCGTACTACACACATCAACGAGCCCAACACGTTCGCGGAGAGCCATCCCCCGCTCATCCACAACCACAGGGCCACAACGCCATACAATGCCTTCATTCCTCGCCCTCACTCTCTCGTCCCTCTTTCGTCTCCCTCCCCTCCCTCTCGCTTCCTCTCCCCTCTCCTCCCTCAGACGTACTACACGCAGGGCTACAACATCATTCGGCAGTACAGCCCGTGCGCGTACGTGTCAATCGAGGGGCAGTACGGGCCGTACGACATCATGAGCACCATCAACGAGCCCAACACGATGGTGGAGAGCCACTTCTACAACGTGTTTCAGAGCAAGACGTTTGCGTCGGCCAGCGAGGAGATTGCGTGGCTGCAGATGCAGAGGACTCAGGATATCACCAGTTATCAGAAGGTGTGTGTGGGGGGGGGGGGGGGGGGGGGGGGGAGGGGGGAGAGGGTGTGGGTGTGGGTGTGGGTGTGTGGGTTTGTGGGTGTGCGCGTGTGAATTGAAGGCCAGTACGGCCCGTTTGACATCGTGAGGGTGTGGGTGCACGTGTGTGTGTGTGCGTGTGTGCGTGTTGGTGTGTGTTGGTGTCGGTGCTGGTGTTGGTGTGTGGGTGTGTGGGTGTTGGTGTGGGGGTGCGTGCACACGTGTGAGTTGTGCTCTCAAATCAAAGGTGGATAGCAGCAAGCTCTGTGTTTGATATCTGTTGGGGCACCTGAATTCCAAGCAAACCCTATCCCTAATCCGTTCCGCATTCTCCCAACCCCACCCCTCCCTCCCTCCCTCCCTCCCTCCCCCCCTCCCTCCCTCCCTCCCCCCCTCCCTCCCTCCAACCCACCACCACCAACCCCACTCTGCAGTTCGGGCGGCCGCTGCTGATCGGAGAGTTCAGCAACGCGATGAAGTATACCAAGCCTACGGCAGCGGAGCAGCAGCTCTTTTCGCAAGCGCAGTTGCAGACCTATGGGCAGGCCACTGCTGGCTGGTTCTTCTGGTCGCTCAAAATAAAAAAGTCGAGTAAGTCGAGTGGATAAGAGTAACTTGATGCTTGTCAGAGGTTGCAGGGTTTTTTTTCAGAATTCTAAAAAAATCCCGCAGATGCAGACCTATGGCCAGGCCGGTGCTGGCTGGTTCTTCTGGTCGCTCAAGATCAAGAAGTCGAGTGAGTGTTGTGGATGGATGCCGCTTGTGTTTTTCTAGATGTCTTTGGAGGCGACTCAAAGGCGGTTTAGTTGCGCCTGTGTGGGATGAGAGCAGCTTGGTGGTTGCCAGTGGTTTGTTTGTCTCACTCTCTCCACACACCTGCCCTGCCACTCTTCCCCGCTCACCCCTTCCCTTTCCCCTTCCCTCCCTCCCTTCCCCCTTGGTGTGTGGACCGCAGACACGTTTCACTGGGACTTCAAAGCAAGCACGGAGAGAGGGTGGCTGCCCAAGAAACCAAATGGCTACTGGTACTGAGGAGAGAGGAGGGGCAGGGGGGGACTAGGATAGGGTAGAGTGTGTGGCATGGGTTGGGTTGAATCGGGTTGGGTTGGGTTTAGGTATTGTTTTAGCGTCTTTACACGGCGCTGACCTGCACACATGTGCACGCAGGAGCTTGGATGCGGGGTCCTCTGAAAACCTGCAGCTGGGGGTTATGGGGAGGTGGTTGAAAGTTGAAAGTTTGTTAGGAATTGAATCTAGGGTGCTATGAAGGCCTACCTGTGAGTGGGTGGGTTGCTGGATTCTGGTGAATTGTGGCTAGTGGTTGTTGCTGGTTCTGTGTTACCACTCCCAATAGCTTTGCCAGCCGATGTTGCTGATGCGGCTATGCCAGTGACAGCCTCCCCTTGTTCCCTGCAGTAGAGGGAGGGAATTGACCGCTCGCTGAATCTAATTTCATTAGTAGCGTTCTGTGTACCATGTTCACATCATATGGCGCTACTATTGCAGAACCGAAAGATGGATTGGTTGGTTTCCACCTTTTTAACATACCGGTACCGGTACTACTATGGTATGATGAGTGATGATATAATGCGACGAAACTGTCATGACCATGTATGAACCGTCACTGTAGAACATGGCGCTCCAGGTAGTCTGCAACATGCAACACGCCACACCTCATAATCTCTAATTGTGGAAATGTCAGCATCACACGACTCAGAAAAGCACATTACCGTACTTTCAACAGAAAGTGAGAGTGACTCGACACAACATGCCACCACCTGGAACACGAGCAAGAGAAACTTTATTCTTACTTGCAGGAACCGCATGGTCAATGCCAGTACCACTACCCTACAGACACCTGAGTCATCCTCCCTACGCTAAAACATCCCTAACAAGAAATTGGCGCTTGTGTTTTCAACTACTGCACTAGATGGGCTGTGAGTGTTCTTGGCTATATTGATCCATGCCTGTAAACATTGGAGTTCTTTGGTCTTGTTTGTGTGGCTGTGGCTGCTCCTGCTGTTGTGGCGATAGATTGGCAGAAGCAGCGTCGGTAGAAGCAGCAGCAGCTGCAGCAGCGGCAGCAGCAGCAGTAGCGGCAGCGGCAGCGGCAGCAAAAGAGCCCGCAGCAAGAGCTCTTCAGTAGCTACTCATCCTAATCTGTGCGAGTGGCCCCCATTCATGCCTTCACACCCGCTGCACCTGCTCCTGATGCTACAGCAGGACGATTAGCTGTACCTTCCGTTGCCACTGCCTCCCCCTCAACTTCTCCTGCTCCTGCCGCTGCTGCTGTGTCGGCTGTATCGGCTGCATGTGCAGCAGCATCGTCCCCGCCTCTACTGTCCGTGGTAGTGGTAGCAGCTGCGGCAGCTTGCTTTAGCTCCGATATGGGTGCTTTATACGGCCGGCCTAGACGTGCCCTCCACCCACCAAAAGCACCACCACCCTTTTCCCCCCCAGCACCAGCACCAGCACCATCACCAGCACAACTAACACCATTCACGCTGTTGCTGTTCCCCGGCTTCTTATCAGCCTCAGCATCAGCATCAGTAGCAGTACTACTGGTAGTGGATGGTGCAGGAGAGGAGAAGAAGTGCAAAGAGGAACGAGCGCTAGCAGATCCCCTAAGGGGTGTCCCGCCTCCAGAGGAGGAAGAGGAGGAGATGGAGGGTGTGCGGGCGGGAGAGAGGAAGGAGCGCAGACCCACTAGTGGCGTTGTCCATCCTGAAGTGGAAGGCTTCTGAAGGAGAGGAGGGAGAGAGAGAGAGGGAGTGAGAGGGAGTGAGAGGGAGTGAGAAGGGGACTTTTGAGACATCTCAAGAGAGGAAGGAGCGCAGACCCACTAATGGCGTTGTCCATCCTGAAGTGGACGGCGTCTGAAGGAGGAGAAGTGTGAGAGAGGGTGTGAGAAGATGGGAAGCAACGAGACAGAGGAATGAGCAAGGCAAATGAGGATCCCCACTCACTCACCATCTTCTTCTCTACCCCCTCTCTCCTTGCATTCTGCCTCCATACCCAGCAATGCTCCACCCAGCAAGACCCAGCAAGAGATGGTTTACAGACTCAGGAGCAAGCTTTTCCTAAACCCAGGAAAGCAATGAAGCGACGCATCTGCTTAAGATTACGCGCACACGTCCAAGGAATTAAGAATCTCCCCCGTTAGAAATCCGCGTGACGCGGGAAGAGTTTCCAGGCGCCCAAAAGGAAAAGCACACGAGAAGAAAAAAAAAACACAATAAAGAATCACCTTTCCGCGCCTGGCAATGTCGTCCTCCTCGCCCTCCGCCAGTGGCGGCGGCGGGTGCTGGTCGAGGACGGCGATGAAGCGATGGAGGGGGTGAATTGAGAGTTACATGCCCCAAACCCAGTTAGAATTCTCTCCGTATCAAACCTCACCTTCTTCCCGCGCCGCGCAATGTCGTCCTCCTCGCCTTCCACCAGGGGCGGCGGCGGGTGCTGGTCAAGGAAGGCGATGAAGCGATGGAGGGGGTGAATTGAGAGTTACATGCCCCAAACCCAGTTAGAATTCTCTCCGTATCAAACCTCACCTTCTTCCCGCGCCGCGCAATGTCGTCCTCCTCGCCTTCCACCAGGGGCGGCGGCGGGTGCTGGTCAAGGAAGGCGATGAAGCGGCGCAGCTGCTTGAGGTATTCGGGGAAGAACTCGAGGTCGCAGTGCCGCGCACCCTCTATGAACAGCGCCTCAAACGGCCGCTTGCAGACAGCTGCCAGGCCCCTCCCGTGGGAGACATCCACCACATCGTCTGCCGTGCCCTGGGAGAGAGGGGACGGGGAGAAGGGGGGAAAAGGGGAGAGCCGGCAGGAGATTGCAGGGGGAGCAGGGTTTGAAGGGGACGGATCAGTGTCGTGCGCCCTGGTCCATTGAGGAAGGGAATGAATGATGAAGCGGCGCAGCTGCTTGAGGTACTCAGGGAAGAACTCGAGGTCGCAGTGCCGCGCGCCCTCTATGAACAGCGCCTCAAACGGCCGCTTGCACACCGCTGCTAGGCCCCTCCCGTGTGACACGTCCACCACATCGTCTGCCGTGCCCTGGAAGAGGGGGGGAGGGTGTGGGGAAAAAGGGGGAGAGCCGGCAGGAGATTGCAGGGGGAGCTGGGATTGAAGGAAGGAAACAGATCAGTGCCGCGCGCCCTCTATGAACAGCGCCTCAAAGGGGCGCTTGCACACCGCTGCCAGGCCACGGCCGTGGGACACGTCCACTACATCGTCTGCCGTGCCCTGGTGAGAGGGGAGGGGGGGGGAGGTTGAGGAGAGGAGTTGCAGGGGATAGAGGACACGTTCGACCACCACCACCACCACCACCACCGCCGCTGCCAGACCACGGCCGTGTGACACGTCCACCACATCGTCTGCCGTGCCCTGGTGAGAGGGGGACGAAGAGGGGAGATGGAGGGGGATGGGGGGATGGGGATGGAGGGGTAGGGGCGTGGGGAGGGGGTAGTGGGGTAGGGAGAGAGGGGGTCGAGGAAGGCGGGGAAGCGGCTGGCACAGCGCTGCTAGGCCCGTCCCGTGGGACACGTCCACGTCATCTGCTGCGCCCTGGTGGGAGGTGGGAGCGGTGGTAGCTGCTAGGCCCGTCCCGCGGGACACGTCTACGTCTACCACGTCATCTGCTGCGCCCTGGTGGGAGGGGGGAGCGGTGGTAGCTGCTAGGCCCGTCCCGCGGGACACGTCTATGCTACCATGTCATCTGTTGTGCCCTGGTGGGAGGGGGGGGCGGTGGGGGGGAGAGAAGTCGTGGCATGGGGGATGTGGGGTGGGGAGAGATGGATGCCGGTAGGGGGATAGGTGGGTGAGCCCGGGGGGCAGGAAGAAAAAAAACACTTCTGAGAATTCTCAAAAGTCTAGGAGAGCAGATTGTAGCTTGCACCCTGCCGCGAGACCCGGCACATTAACTGCGCCGTCTGCTTCTCTGAGGAGGGGGGGGGGCGGCGACGGAGGATGGGGGGAAGATGGGGGTCAGACGGATGCAGATGGGGGACTGGGGTAGCGGGTTAGAGGCATGGGGGGGGGGGGGGGGGGGGAGGGGGGAGGGGGGTAGGGGACGAGGGGGGTTTGGGAGAAACGATGGGGGTGGGTGGGGGGGGGGTTGATGGTGGGGTTGGGAGGGACAAGAAGGGGGAACTTGGGAGACCTTGGGTGGGGTAGGGAGGGGGGTTGCGGGGATGTAGGGAAGGTTGTGGTGGTGTGGTGTGGTGTGCCCATGAGAGCAGCTTGCACCGCTCTTGATGATACAGAGCTCTTGATGATACAGAGCTCTTGATGATACAGAGCTCTTGATGATACAGAGCTCTTGATGATACAGAGCTCTTGATGATACAGAGCTCTTGATGATACAGAGCTCTTGATGATACAGAGCACTTGATGATACAGAGCACTTGATGATACAGAGCTCTTGATGATACAGAGCACTTGATGATACAGAGCTCTTGATGATACAGAGCTCTTGATGATACAGAGCACTTGATGATACAGAGCTCTTGATGATACAGAGCTCTTGATGATACAGAGCTCTTGATGATACAGAGCTCTTGATGATACAGAGCTCTTGATGATACAGAGCTCTTGATGATACAGAGCTCTTGATGATACAGAGCTCGTGATGATACAGAGCTCTTGATGATACAGAGCTCTTGATGATACAGAGCTCTTGATGATACAGAGCTCTTGATGATACAGAGCTCTTGATGATACAGAGCACTTGATGATACAGAGCTCTTGATGATACAGAGCTCTTGATGATACAGAGCACTTGATGATACAGAGCTCTTGATGATACAGAGCTCTTGATGATACAGAGCTCTTGATGATACAGAGCACTTGATGATACAGAGCTCTTGATGATACAGAGCTCTTGATGATACAGAGCACTTGATGATACAGAGCTCTTGATGATACAGAGCTCTTGATGATACAGAGCTCTTGATGATACAGAGCTCTTGATGATACAGAGCTCTTGATGATACAGAGCTCTTGATGATACAGAGCTCTTGATGATACAGAGCTCTTGATGATACAGAGCTCTTGATGATACAGAGCTCTTGATGATACAGAGCTCTTGATGATACAGAGCTCGTGATGATACAGAGCTCTTGATGATACAGAGCTCTTGATGATACAGAGCTCTTGATGATACAGAGCTCTTGATGATACAGAGCTCTTGATGATACAGAGCACTTGATGATACAGAGCTCTTGATGATACAGAGCTCTTGATGATACAGAGCTCTTGATGATACAGAGCTCTTGATGATACAGAGCTCTTGATGATACAGAGCTCTTGATGATACAGAGCTCTTGATGATACAGAGCTCTTGATGATACAGAGCTCGTGATGATACAGAGCTCTTGATGATACAGAGCTCTTGATGATACAGAGCTCTTGATGATACAGAGCTCTTGATGATACAGAGCTCTTGATGATACAGAGCTCTTGATGATACAGAGCTCTTGATGATACAGAGCTCGTGATGATACAGAGCTCTTGATGATACAGAGCTCTTGATGATACAGAGCTCTTGATGATACAGAGCTCTTGATGATACAGAGCTCTTGATGATACAGAGCACTTGATGATACAGAGCTCTTGATGATACAGAGCTCTTGATGATACAGAGCACTTGATGATACAGAGCTCTTGATGATACAGAGCTCTTGATGATACAGAGCTCTTGATGATACAGAGCACTTGATGATACAGAGCTCTTGATGATACAGAGCTCTTGATGATACAGAGCACTTGATGATACAGAGCTCTTGATGATACAGAGCTCTTGATGATACAGAGCTCTTGATGATACAGAGCTCTTGATGATACAGAGCTCTTGATGATACAGAGCTCGTGATGATACAGAGCTCTTGATGATACAGAGCTCTTGATGATACAGAGCTCTTGATGATACAGAGCTCTTGATGATACAGAGCTCTTGATGATACAGAGCTCTTGATGATACAGAGCTCTTGATGATACAGAGCACTTGATGATACAGAGCTCTTGATGATACAGAGCTCGTGATGATACAGAGCACTTGATGATACAGAGCTCTTGATGATACAGAGCTCTTGATGATACAGAGCTCTTGATGATACAGAGCTCTTGATGATACAGAGCTCTTGATGATACAGAGCTCTTGATGATACAGAGCTCTTGATGATACAGAGCTCTTGATGATACAGAGCTCTTGATGATACAGAGCTCTTGATGATACAGAGCTCTTGATGATACAGAGCTCTTGATGATACAGAGCTCTTGATGATACAGAGCTCTTGATGATACAGAGCTCTTGATGATACAGAGCTCTTGATGATACAGAGCTCTTGATGATACAGAGCACTTGATGATACAGAGCTCTTGATGATACAGAGCTCTTGATGATACAGAGCTCTTGATGATACAGAGCACTTGATGATACAGAGCTCTTGATGATACAGAGCTCTTGATGATACAGAGCACTTGATGATACAGAGCTCTTGATGATACAGAGCTCTTGATGATACAGAGCTCTTGATGATACAGAGCTCTTGATGATACAGAGCTCTTGATGATACAGAGCTCTTGATGATACAGAGCTCTTGATGATACAGAGCTCTTGATGATACAGAGCTCTTGATGATACAGAGCTCTTGATGATACAGAGCACTTGATGATACAGAGCTCTTGATGATACAGAGCTCTTGATGATACAGAGCACTTGATGATACAGAGCTCTTGATGATACAGAGCTCTTGATGATACAGAGCTCTTGATGATACAGAGCACTTGATGATACAGAGCTCTTGATGATACAGAGCTCTTGATGATACAGAGCACTTGATGATACAGAGCTCTTGATGATACAGAGCTCTTGATGATACAGAGCTCTTGATGATACAGAGCTCTTGATGATACAGAGCTCTTGATGATACAGAGCTCTTGATGATACAGAGCTCTTGATGATACAGAGCTCTTGATGATACAGAGCTCTTGATGATACAGAGCTCTTGATGATACAGAGCTCTTGATGATACAGAGCTCGTGATGATACAGAGCTCTTGATGATACAGAGCTCTTGATGATACAGAGCTCTTGATGATACAGAGCTCTTGATGATACAGAGCTCTTGATGATACAGAGCACTTGATGATACAGAGCTCTTGATGATACAGAGCTCTTGATGATACAGAGCACTTGATGATACAGAGCTCTTGATGATACAGAGCTCTTGATGATACAGAGCTCTTGATGATACAGAGCACTTGATGATACAGAGCTCTTGATGATACAGAGCTCGTGATGATACAGAGCACTTGATGATACAGAGCTCTTGATGATACAGAGCTCTTGATGATACAGAGCTCTTGATGATACAGAGCTCTTGATGATACAGAGCTCTTGATGATACAGAGCTCTTGATGATACAGAGCTCTTGATGATACAGAGCTCTTGATGATACAGAGCTCTTGATGATACAGAGCTCTTGATGATACAGAGCTCTTGATGATACAGAGCTCGTGATGATACAGAGCTCTTGATGATACAGAGCTCTTGATGATACAGAGCTCTTGATGATACAGAGCTCTTGATGATACAGAGCTCTTGATGATACAGAGCACTTGATGATACAGAGCTCTTGATGATACAGAGCTCTTGATGATACAGAGCACTTGATGATACAGAGCTCTTGATGATACAGAGCTCTTGATGATACAGAGCTCTTGATGATACAGAGCACTTGATGATACAGAGCTCTTGATGATACAGAGCTCTTGATGATACAGAGCACTTGATGATACAGAGCTCTTGATGATACAGAGCTCTTGATGATACAGAGCTCTTGATGATACAGAGCTCTTGATGATACAGAGCTCTTGATGATACAGAGCTCTTGATGATACAGAGCACTTGATGATACAGAGCTCTTGATGATACAGAGCTCTTGATGATACAGAGCACTTGATGATACAGAGCTCTTGATGATACAGAGCTCTTGATGATACAGAGCTCTTGATGATACAGAGCACTTGATGATACAGAGCTCTTGATGATACAGAGCTCTTGATGATACAGAGCACTTGATGATACAGAGCTCTTGATGATACAGAGCTCTTGATGATACAGAGCTCTTGATGATACAGAGCTCTTGATGATACAGAGCTCTTGATGATACAGAGCTCTTGATGATACAGAGCTCTTGATGATACAGAGCTCTTGATGAGACAGAGCTCTTGATGATACAGAGCTCTTGATGATACAGAGCACTTGATGATACAGAGCTCTTGATGATACAGAGCTCTTGATGATACAGAGCACTTGATGATACAGAGCTCTTGATGATACAGAGCTCTTGATGATACAGAGCACTTGATGATACAGAGCACTTGATGATACAGAGCTCTTGATGATACAGAGCTCTTGATGATACAGAGCTCTTGATGATACAGAGCTCTTGATGATACAGAGCACTTGATGATACAGAGCTCTTGATGATACAGAGCTCTTGATGATACACAGCACTTGATGATACAGAGCTCTTGATGATACAGAGCTCTTGATGATACAGAGCTCTTGATGATACAGAGCTCTTGATGATACAGAGCTCTTGATGATACAGAGCTCTTGATGATACAGAGCTCTTGATGATACAGAGCTCTTGATGATACAGAGCACTTGATGATACAGAGCTCTTGATGATACAGAGCTCTTGATGATACAGAGCACTTGATGATACAGAGCTCTTGATGATACAGAGCTCTTGATGATACAGAGCACTTGATGAGACAGAGCTCTTGATGATACAGAGCTCTTGATGATACAGAGCTCTTGATGATACAGAGCTCTTGATGATACAGAGCTCTTGATGATACAGAGAACTTGATGATACAGAGCTCTTGATGATACAGAGCTCTTGATGATACAGAGCACTTGATGATACAGAGCTCTTGATGATACAGAGCTCTTGATGATACAGAGCTCTTGATGATACAGAGCTCTTGATGATACAGAGCACTTGATGATACAGAGCTCAGGTATGCACGTGCATGTGTGCTCTGGTGTGTGGCTTTGTGTGTGCATGTGTGTGGTGTGGCTGTCGTGGGGATGTGTGTGTGCTTACGTGAATGTGTGTGCATGTATGTGTGCATGTGTGCATGTGTGTGTGCCGCACTCACATGCATGACAAAGACTGGGCACTCCACTTTGGGAAGCTTGTCAATGTTCTGATCACAGGGAGACAGACAGGCAGAGACAAAGAAGGCGGGGAGGGACAGACGGGAGCGAGGAGGGACAGAGGGGAGCGGGGGGGGGACAGACGGGAGCGGGGGGGGGGGACAGAGGGGAGCGGGGAAAGACAGAGAATCAGGAGGTGATGGGATAGCAGTGAGAGACGTTAACTGCACAATCTGCACTACTCCCCTTTTGTCACACCTCGCTCCCTGTCTCCATCCATACACCCTTCACCCGTAAGCCTCGCCATACCCTCCACACAGCATCCACAACCCTGATTTTTTAGTCGACTCAAAAGTCGACTCGCACCTCCACCTCTCTAACACCCCTATCTCCCCGTCCCTCCCCGCACCTTCCCTCCCCATCCCATTTCTCCTCTTCATGACACACTGCCGGGCCTGTTGGAGTCGTTTTTTGAGAGAAAAAAAAAAAAAAAACGACTCTAACTGCCCTGCAGCACACAGTGAAGTTATCCGAAAAGGAGGAGGTCTTAACCCTTATACAGCATGCACAGTCCCCCCTTCGTCTCTCCGTCTCCCTCCCCCCTCCCCCCTCCCCCCACTCTCAAACTGCACCCCAGCGCGACTCACAGGGAAGGAGGTCTTAACCTCGTACAGCACACACAGCACCCACTTCCTCCCCTCCCACATCTTCCCCTTTTCCCTCCCCCTTCACCCCAGCGAGACTCACAGTGAAGATATCCAGGAAGAAGCTCGTCTTGACCTCGTACAGCACGCGCAGCCCGGACATGATAGGGCTGTGCAGCACCACGCCGCGCAGCCTCAACCTCCCTCCTCCCCCCGTCCCCCCCTCTCACCCCCCCTTCTCCCCTTTTCAAACTGCACCCGATGGGACTCACAGTGAAGATATCGAGGAAGAAAGACGTCTTGACCTCGTATAGCACGCGCAGGCCAGACATGATAGGGCTGTGCAGCACCACGCCTCGCAGGCGCGGAGTGCGAGAGGCCAGGTCCACCGTGGGACCGCTGCCCACGGACTGCCCGTAGAGGATAATGTCCTCCGGTCGAATGCGGTGCTGTGCGGTGAGGTACGTGAAGGCGGCTTCTATGTCCGCGTACGTGTTGAACTCCGTGGGCTGGGGGGGGGGCGGAAGGGGGGGGGGGGGAGGGGGAAGTAGGAATGGGGGGAAAAGGAGGAGGGAACGGACGGGGAGCAGGGGGGGGCAGGGGTGAGCAGGGGAGAACAGAGGAGGAAGGAAGAAGCGAGGAAGGGGGCAAAGAGAAGAATTCGAACGTTAGCTGTTTGTTGAGTGCCTTCTGTCTGGTGAGGCATTGGAATGGTGGAGTGTGCGATGGATGGGTGGAGAGAGGGAGAGGAAGGAGCGGCAGGTGGGTGTGTGCAGGTAAGGAGCATGCGAAGCGTTACGAGACGGGATGGTAATGCTCGCTCCCTATCAGTAGTGCTCTCAGTAATTAAAGGTTGTGCTGCTGCCGCTGCTGCCGCCGCTGCTGCTGCTGCTGCTGCCGCTGCTGCTGCTGCTGCTGCACGAATGCTAGACTTGCCACTCATACGTACCTTGCCCGATGAAGCACCATAACCAGTGTAGTCGTACCTGCCATGAAAACACAGCACAACACACATGCATATGCACACAGGGACACCCACAGACACACGAACCAACCCACCCACCCACCCACCCACCCACCCACCACCAACATCGTCATTCGCCCACCGCGCTCTCCGCCCCACACAGCACACGCACCACGCATTCACAGAGAGAGAAAGTGACAACGGGAGAACGGCGGATTGAGGGTAAGCGGAATAATTGTGGGGTATTTTGTGGTGGAGAGAGAAGGGTGGAAGCGGAGGCGGAGGTGGAGGAAGCGGGTTTGGGGGAGAGGACGGAACGAGTCCAGCAGAATTTGCCTTGGCTAAGATAGGTGACAGTCGTGAGAGCAGCATAGAGCAGCTAACTCAGATTGTATTCCAACGCAGAGACACCATCCGAAGTTGGGACACCTGGTTGGTTTTTTTATTTGCTTTCGAATGAAGGTCTACATAGGATGTTACCCTGTGGTTTGAAAGGCTGGTTAATATCTCAAACCCAATCTTGCGTCAGACGTAAGCTAGTCTCGATGTGTTGGGTGAACTCACTCAGCCACACTTACTCAACTGACTGACACGTGTGCCGTGCGGTGTACTGACATTGCTCAGAAATTCGTGTGCATATTTCAGAATTGCAATTTTGCAGCATTGATTCTAGGTCACGCCGAACTAGGGGAATTAGCCATGCAGCACGAGAAAACACTGAATCAGTCCCAACTTCGCATGGTGTCCCTGCGTTGGAATACAATCTCAGCCTCCTCCTATACCAGAGTAGACGCAGAGTTTGGCCGATGGTGGGCTGCTGCTCAGCTCGGCTCAGCTCGGTACAGCTCGGTACAGCTCGGTACAGCTCGGCTCAGCTCGGCTCAGTTCCTCTAACACCTCCTGCTGAGCGCGAACGCTTCGAGAACAGCGTCAATAATGCCGTTATTTCAATCTCACTCTTCCCGGCTGATCCTCTCCCGCCTTTCCACGCGTCTTTTAACACACTTCCCCCTGTCCTCCTCTTTCCTCACTCAGTCGCATCCCCCCGCCCCCCCTTCCCCACCGCCCCCACCCCTCCCATTTTCCCCTCCCCTTTTCCCCTCCCCCCTACCCTCCCTCCCCCCAACGCCCTCCTTATACCCTAACGCAGTGACGCTACCCGCGCGCAGACCAGAATGGACTACCTCGTCTCACCCGAGGAGATTAACTCGCAGCATGTTGCTAAGCTCCACGTATAGGTCGTGCACTTGTCCGAGATCCGCGGCGTTGCCGTGCGAGTACAGCACCGTGAGGCGCGCGCGCGGGTTGCGGACGAACATGGCGGCGATGCGCTGCCCGCGCGCCGTGTCCAGGAACGTGACCTCCACGTTCTCCGCCGGCGCGATGTCCTCGAACCGCAGCTTGCCCGTTACCGGGTCCTCCACTATCGAGTACGACGGCGGCGTCGGCGGGAAAAACGCGAATTTCGCCGCGAGAGATGACGTCATCGCCCCCATGGCTGGCTGCCAAATGGTTGGCTGGATCGCTAGCTGGGTTGAATGCCGACCTCGAGTCGCGTCCCGAGCAATCAAGTATTGAAAGGTTACGAATTAACTAAGTGCTAAGGGGGCAGTTATAAATAAGGCGACGCAAGACGTAAGATACTACTGCTGACAAAATACAAGAGTGGTTTCGGGGATTACGACGAGACGACAAAGGCAGCAGACGGCGGGGAATGCGGCGGTTTCTGCGGGCTACAGTAGGCAGACAATGCGGGGCACGCGACGAGAGGGAGCGTCATTATCGGCGCGGGTTGATTCGTTCTCGCAGGGTTGAATCGCTTCGAGGACCCTGTCGAAGGGCTATGTGCGCGCGCATCGCCTTAATATGTACGCGCTTTATAGTTACTATTGTGGTTTTAAACGACTTAGAGGTGAGATGAAGGGTCTTGCGAGGTTATTAGCGAGGGAACAGGCAGGAGGAAAGTGAGGACGCAGGAGGAGTGGGGAGACAGCGCGAGTCACAAGGATAATAATCTGCAGAACTGCACAGTGGGAAACTCGCAAGCGGACACACATCCAAAATCTATTACAGTATCTCGTTTCATAATCTAAGAGCATCCTATACCCATTGCATCATCTCCTCTCAAAACTCCCTCGCTCCGAGCACATCAACGTCAACACTTCGACCAGTCGCGTCGCGTCCTTATTCTGTCAGTTCGGGTCGGGAGAAGCAGTTGGCCCTTCATGGCTCTTGACCGGCAAGATTTTAGAGGCTTGTGGTTGTGGCCCTGGGTGGGTTGTCGTGGTGTAGGTTAGGTTGGCAGCACGACTCTAATCAGCGCGACGCAGAACAGCTTTCGCTGGCGATATGTACTGTACACTGAATTTTCGCTAGAGTCGTTCTGTATTGTTTAGCAACAGTTTTTGGTAGAATTTCAACGCACCCAGAAGGACTAGATGAGGTGGTTTCACGTATCAAAACGTCTGCTTACGAATAGGAATGGTTAGTAGGATATTTAACGATAAGAAATATATGGGACATCTTCAGAGGAATACGGTTCAAGCACCGCCGGAATATTTGATATGGACAAGGAATATATGTGTGACAGCCGCATTGGAGAGTTTGTGTCACATGCCACAAGGAACCCGTCTCAAGAACCACCGGTCACAAAGTCAAGAAACAAGGTGTACACTTCATGTGCACACCTCCCTGCGCTAATATACAGTGCAGGAGATGCCATGCCCAACACAGGAAAACACACTAAATCTTCGGTCGAGTGGGGTGAACCCTTTCGTGCAATGGGTCGACCTTCACGGCATTTGAACAAGGTCCACGCTTGGAATTGCCCAACAAACGGAAGGAATTGCCATCCATCAAACATCCTGTCCTCCTGACTCCTCCTGAGCCCTGACTATGGGTACGTCGGGCGGGCACAAAATGCCGCAAGAAAGAAATGTCGCGCTCGATTCTGGTCTGGACCAACTGCCAGGGGGCCGAGAAGTGCAATCAAACGGACTTTGTTATTCTTGTCCCGTAGCCACGGCCACGAGCAACTAGCCATGAACCTCCTCCACCCTGCCATCTGGTTCAGGACGGCTCGGTAAAATCTTCAGTTTGATGTGGAAGAAGATGTGGAGGTAAGGCTTGGAAGCCTTGAAGTTGGACTGAATCACCGAAATCTGAGGCTCGGAACCCAGAACTTGGCTCGGAAGACCCGAACAAGGGAGTCGAAGACCCAGCTTGAAGTCTCGGAACCGATACGTACCTTTTCATATTTGCCCGACTGTTCACATCGGGGATGCTGGCTACTTTCCCACCCCTTCTTTTGGGCCACTTGCTCGGACGTGCGTGTGGGTGCTTTTGGTTTCAACGGGCAGGTGGCACTTCACCCACATTCAGTTCGGAGGTTACCGACAAGGCTGGGCTGCTGGAACTTTGGACACCCGCAATTTTGAGGGTGCATTCGGAGCTCCAGTCAGACCTCCAGTTCAATGGTTCCTACGTTCCAATTCAAAGCTTCCAGGACCACTTCTCATCTTCCACAAATCTTCTTCCGTGAACACCTGAATCTGATAATTTCACACTTGGTACCCTCTTTTCTTAAAGCCGGCGGCCCAAATTGTTCATGCTTTTAAAAGTTGACCAGAGGGAGTTTTTCTGGTGTGGGCTTTGGCGAGAGTTTCCGATTTCGTCTAGGTTCGTTTTTTTCGCGAGACCCAGCCAACCCTCGGTTTTCCCCCTGGTGAGTGAATCTGTCTTCGAAAGTCCCAAATTGCAAGTGCGTGACTTTCAAAAGCTTGGACACTCAACTTTGTCAAGTTTTAAAAACTTGACCCTCGCGGCCCGCAATTTGGGACGCGGGCTTTAAAGCTGCAGCCTACATACCTCACGCGGGAGGCCTGAGTTTATCACTTGAAAACCAGGTTGCTGTTAGCTTCACTGGCGAGGATTTGTGACCTCCACAACCCCCCCCCCCCCCCCCCCCCCCCCTGAAAATTCGCACACTCAGGATTGGCTCATCAGTTTAGCCAAACCCTAAACCGCTCGAAACGTTTGAGGATTCGCCGAGGGTTGTTCTCCCACCCGAGTTTTTTTCACGAAACTGGCGGGATTCGCCAGTCTTGTTTGACCCCTTCGCACCCCCATTTCAGGACAAGGGTCACTTCGCAAACTAATCAGAGTGCGTCCTAGGGTGTCCACGCTAATTGTACCCCAAAAGGCATTTATGTATCTAGACCACAGCTTTAAAGTGACGGTGCGCATTTGCCACCCAAAACCCAAAACCCTGGCGAACTGTTACTGCGGATGAAAAGTGTTCGCACGAAATCCTGGTTTTCGCCAGCCAACACTTTCGCGCTTGCAAGCCTGGTTCAAAACAAAAACTTATGAACCCAACCCTGCCAAAAGTGCACCGTCGCATTAAACAGCTTGGCTCTATTTGACAAACCCTTTGACAGCACCTTCGTGACAATCCCACCAGCGCCCGTCAAGTTAGGATTTAAGGGCGCGTCCCCTCCCTCGATCGATCCGGCCCTCGATCGATCGAGTGACAGCTACAATGCAAGTGTAGCTTCGTAATTTACAGGGTAACCATCTTTCGATATGGCTTGCAAATGTACAGTAAAATGTGCCTAACAATCCTGTCACCTCCGCCGATAGTATGTGCTTTTGTGCCCACACCTATCTGGGCTTTCTGACGATCGATGGGTTTTTCCCCCAAAAAAACTCTCGATCCTGTCACCCTGGGCTCGAAATCGTCCCGCAATCGCAAAGATGATGTCACCTCCCACCTATCTTACCCTGATCGGTTTTTTTACGGCGATCTCACGATCGATCGAGGGAGGGGACGCGCCCTAACCATGGCAGCTTCCAGCAATACTACTGAAGCTGGCAATCTCGTCTGAACTTCGGTAGACTTGCTGAAGTAGCAAACACCCACTTTTGCTTAAAACCCGAGGGTCAAGAAGGAAAAAATTGGTTCATCCTTCCTAATGTTGGTTGGGTGTCCCAAAAACGTCTATGATTATTCCCGAGTTCTAAGACCTCGATGGTTCGCGGGCCAATAGCGTTTTCACTCCCAACCAACCTTCCTAAGGTTGAACTTATTGGCCCGCGGGTTTTAAGGGATCCACAGATTGCGAATACGTAGGGCACTTTCGTGCCCTACAAGGAGGAAACTCTCGTCCCTCGCTCTCCTTTCGTACCAAACACAATTTTCATATAAGCAAGGAAGCATGCACGAGAAAATTTACGACGTGTTGCAATTGTCGGTGCATTGCATCGGCTCGGGACGACTGGAAGGCTCCAGGCAGGCGGGAGGCCAAACCCGGGCACTGATTCGACAAATAAAAATTTCAATATAATGATCTAAAGAGTTATATGCAAATTTATTTTGTAACATAGAATATTTTTGCGCGTTTACTGGAAACTTTTTACGACCTCTTGTTTTCCTGGAGCCTTCCTAAACCCGTGCCCCGACCCGAGCCGATGCAGTGCACCACGAATTGCAACACGTGGGGAGAGTCACAACACAACGGGAGTGGACTACGGAGGAGGGCACGGGGTTGTGCGAGTGATCAAAGCGGTGCACTAACGTTCTTACTTCTTGCTGTGTTCACTGAGAAGTTTGGCAAGAGATTCCACTAAGGAAGTTGAAAGAGCATTGATCATTGAAAACTTGATAGTACAATTGAGGGCATGCAGAACGATATGACTAGAATGGCATGCAACACCTAGCAAGGGCGAAATCTGCCAGCGCAGCAGAAGAGCGGCTTGCCAACGCTGCAGCAGAGTAGTCTGCCAGCGTTGCACTGCGCGCGGTCCGCCAGCACTGCAGTCGCAGGTGACTATCTGCAGTCGCAGGTAACTATCTGCAGTCGCAGGTTGTCTAACTGCGCAGATGTGCGCACCTACCAAGTAGGTGCAGGTTGACGGTTTCACCATCAGGAACATTGCGCAGGTGCCAGGTAGAAAACTTGTCGTCGGTTTCGCCAGGTGCGCACCGTCGACCACGTGATGCCGTTCCGCAGGTCGAACTTCGCCAAAACTGTCAGAATCCCAATCACTAGACCACTGTGATAAAAGGGTTTGTTAAGTAGCGGGTCAGTGCGCCCATAACCCCCCAGGACAACGAGCCTGTAACCCTTCCCTATGATCAATCGGGGATCACCAGTGGACCTCTGACACCCCCCCGCACTGGGATGCCCGAAGTGCACACACTGGGATTCGAACCCGAGACCTTCACTCTGATACCATGTCCCAATCACTAGACCACTGGGATAAAAGGGCTTGTTAAGTAGCGGGTCAGTGCGTCCATAACCCCCCAGGACAACGACCCTGTAACCCTTCCCTATGATCAATCGGGGATCACCAGTGGACCTCTGACAAAAACCTCCTGGGCGAAGTTTCGCACACCTCCGCAGAGTTTCGCACACCTTTGCGAGTTCGGTCGAACAGCTCGACCCCGCTCGGTCGAACAGCGTTCGCCGAGCAGAGCTCGTCGACCAGAGCTCGT